TGTCCTGTTCCCCTGAGCGCATTCCTGCTCACCACCGGCTCCACGGCGGGGGCTGTTTACAGGGTTTGCGGATAGGGGCCGAATCCCCGATGATCCCGTCCATGCGTAAACTGCATGAAGCGCGGTAAGAAATAATTAACAAAAGGGCCCTGCAAACCAGCTGTGGCAGACAGAAATAACAGGCCATGCACACGAAGCCCCAAGAAACCTGAACTCTACGCTCGAAGCCAAACGTTATGAAGACGGCCCAGAACCCAAATATATCCTCCGGAAACCGACAAACCCCAACCCAAAAACCCCACACCCAAATCCCGAACTCCGACAACCCTGGGCCGCAAACTGCAAAGGACACCTAATGTGGTGGGGACCTAACTATTTACCAATACTATTGTGGGGGGGGGGGGGTTCTTATTATAACTATAATATAGTTATATAGTATCATGGGCCCCACAATCCTGTTTTAATTATTAAGGCCCCTATATTACTCCTGGCCTTCAAGACAAGCATTCAGAGACATGGACCTGCCCATGGATCTCACCTGGCTGCCCCCGGCCACGCGGTGGGCGCCCAAGGAGGCGACTCGGGGCTTCCGTAGCGGCGGGGATCATCACCGCCCTAAACCCTAAACCCTAAGCCCTAAACCCCTAAACCTCTAAACCCGAAGGATTCAGGGGTTAAGCATGTAGGGTTGGTTAGGTTTTTGATGATGATCTGGGCAGGCCCTGTTGGGGAGCATGAGTGACTCACAATCTGTCATGCCCTAAACCCACAAATCCCTCCAACACGCTAAGCCCTGAGCCCTGTAACTTTAAAGCGTGTTTTCCAAAACCTCCAACCCGAACCCCTGAAGCCTGCAAGCCCTTGATCTCAAAATCCCTTTTTAATTTTATTCCTTAGCTTGCAAAGCTCTGGCCAGGTTGCCATCCAGCGACCGGTGCCAAGAAGGCCAATTGGGGTTCGGCCTGCCTGGGTCGGGCTGATAATGATGAACGAGTTTTGGGGTTTTAGGGGACTGGGGTGTTGGGTTGGTGCTTGAGGTTTGGGGTGCTTCGGGTTTGGCGGGTGAAGGCCTTTTGGGACAGACTCCTTCGCACCGGCTGCTGCAAGGTCGTTCTTTGTGAGGCTTCTTTCAAAAAGTGGCTACCTTTGGTGAAATGTATGTTGCAAATGTGGAATCCTTTTGCCAACTACAGGAAGGGGTTGACATATGTACACGTCGCTTGCGTTGAGACATCCCAGCAGTTGCTATTTGTCGGCAGAGGGCCGTCTCAAGCTCTGAACTCCTCCAGTTTTAGCCTCATGATTCTCGAAACGATGTTCAATCTCAGACCATTCTCTGCGACACAGTTTGGAACCGACAGGAGGCATTGGAATTCAGGACACATGCTTAGGCCGACGGCCAGCCCACAGCCTAAATCCCCGAAGCTGCGGAACCGATGGAGAACGCTCAGTTCTCGGCAATATAGCAAGATCGACAGTGATCAGGCTTAGAAAGCTCACATCCTGTAGTGCTTTGGTAAAGGGTCCAGAAACCTGTAATTATCGTGAGTGAACAAAACCATATAACCCGTACTGAAGTTTAGGCCCTAAACCCTAATCCCTAGCAAGCAGCGAGAGCCTCCGAAGGCGGGCGGACGCGGGCGACACGCTCACACGAACTTAGTGCTTTCTCGGCTTCTTGGTGTCAGGGGGGGGCGTGTCGGTCGAAGGGACCCCATGAACAGAGCTAACATAGGGGCCTTGATAGCTATAATAGGGTTTGTGGGTGCAGTATACTACAATCATAATAAGTAACCCCCAAAAATCAGCACGGGCAAGATTCAGGCTACGCGAAGTTGCAACAAGCGTTTACAGAGGACCCCTTCTGGTGCTGAGCATCATTGTTACTCAAACTTAAGGATTAGTACCGGTGCAGCTTCTGGTTCAACTGCCAGCTTGCATTACTATCTGACATTCGCTGCCATTGTCCTGATTGTAGTCGGCAACATAAGGCCGACACAGTGGTCGTGGTGTTCGTTTTGTGTCGTGGTGGTCGTCTCTGTGGTGGTCTTGGTCGCTGTCACCGCCGGCGTCATCGTCGTCGTCGGTCAGTTTCGTCGTACTCGTATTCTGCGTATTTGTACTATGATGATGATCATGATGAGTATGATGATGATTCTTGTTATTATGCTTGCTATTTCTTCGTAGTGGTAATCATCGCGGCAGCAGCAGCAGCAGCAGCAGCAGCAGCAGCAGCAGCAGCAGCAGGAAGAGGAGGAGGAGGAGGAGGAGGCCGATGACCGGTAAGATCAAGAGGAAACACACCGAACCAGTCTCTGCACAGCCCAAAAATAGTCCGATTCGAACCCAAGCCTGCAGTTTTTACAACACCTGATGCAGCACGTAGGACCTAGTCTAGTGCCATTGACCAACGCCTGCAAGATATACAAAGAGAGCTGCGTCAACAACAAGATCTCAGCCGCAAGCTAATCCCCTGAAAAAACCGACCCTGAGGATTGCTCGCAGCCGAAGCTGGCGCGCGACGCTTCCTTGCGCCTCGTGCAGCTGGTGACATGCGCGAGGCCTGGCAAAGCTCTTCTTGTCGTTCGTGCGTTCCTCGTCGCGTCTGGGTTAGCTGATTTTGTACGTGTGTGTGTGTGTGTGGAGTTTGCTGTCGTGTTTTTTTTTTTTTTTTTTT